TGTGTGTGTGTGTGTGTGTGTGTGTGTGTGTGTGTGTGTGTGTGTGTGTGTGTGTGTGTGTGTGTTTTAACTGAGAGGAGGAGCATCAGCATGCACAGCACAGAAAATCTTTCCAGGTCTGTAAGCCCTGCAGACATTTTTTTCTGTAAATTGACCTTCAGAGGCTGAAATCACAGATAATCAGGTTCTAAAACTGAACTTTTGTTTTAAATGTGTAAGTGCTGTAAGCTGAGAGGCCTGAGTGGACACAGGATCCAGCAGAAAGTGACCCACATCCCTCGGACCGGTTCTGAATAATAGATCTGAAGGCAGAGAGACGTGACTTCCTGTCAGAGGTGCAGAACCAGGMCTGCTGTAGGACTGGGTTCTGTCTGTCTGCTGGGTTTAGTCAGTCTGGTCTCAGCATCTGTGACTGCCACTCACTGAGTGCATGTTCACCTCCTGGATCCTCCTCTGAAGGAGGGATATTCAGAGCTGAACAGGACATTTCTGACTGAAGCAGACTGTCGTGTTAGTTGAGAGAGGGTTGGAGGAAACAGAGTCCAGAGTCAGAGGGTCTGGGTCCACGTGGTACGATAAGGACGTGGATCTGGTTCCTGGAGGTCCGTCACAGGAGCAGCTGTCACCAGGTGAATGAAAACTCTGACATTTAATATAAAACCATCTTAAGAATCGACCTGTTTTCGTTGAAGCTTGAAAACAGTGTTACAACAATGACTCTCAGCGACTACCACCCTGAGTGTTAGCTCCATATCTGYAGAACTGACAGGATTAAAGTCAGGTCTGTACAGCTGGTGATCCCTCTGTGAGTGTTTTATTAAAGTCCCTCCAGCAGCTCATGAGGTATTTTGCTAACACAGCAGCTTTCTCTGAGCTTTGACTTTGTTATTTCATGACAGAAAAGTGATAAAAACAATGAGACGAAGAAAGGAAACAACTGAACTAAACACACATTTATTCCTAATAAAGAAACACCAGAGGGAGAAAATGTGCTGAGGAGATGAAACAGAATAGAATCAGCTTCTACAGAACTTGAAGAGGTAATTTAATCCCTGAATCAGATGTGTTKGAGCAGAGAAACAAGTAAAACATGCAGGATAGCGGCCCACCAGGACCAGAACTGGCCACCCCTGATATAGAATCAAACTATTCTGTGAAACAGAGACGTGACCATCTGTCCGTCTACTCAAGGACCAAGAATATTTGATGCATTAAATAAAAAATAATTTTGAATAAAAACACAAGTACAATGCTGCTTTTGGAACAGAACAAAGGCAACTATAAGGCTTGTGATTAAAAATCCTAAATGTGAACGAGTTTATCAGCACAAAGCATTCATATTTGCCAAGTTGAGCTAAAATATGAGGCTGCAGATGATAAGAAGTTCAAACCAAGGCTCTGAAATGAGCTGAACTTCCCATCACCAGCTAAAGATGGGATGCCAACAGACTGCGGGTCACTGATTGGTCAGCGAGAGACGCCAGGCATTTAATTAAAAACAAAAACAGAGTGGTTCTGTAAGGAGCTGCAGACGCTTGTGTTTGTTGACGGATGACAGAACTCAGAGAACAAATGGACTCATAACTCCGACCCGCAGAGAGAAGGTGGTCACATTTAGACACCATGACGGAGGACGGAGAGTGTTAGTTAAAAAAATAACACTGCAGAAGTTTCAGGCGCTGATCCCGCCCACATCAGGCCCATCGAAAACCACTGAGACCATGTGGACCTGAGGGTYTTTTTGAGACTAGACTGTAGAGTGAAGCAGATGAATTCGTGTCGCAGTAACTTGACTAAACAACGAATAAACTGTCTGCTTCTGACATTAGTCATGATAAGAAGGCAGAAAAACATCCGTTGGTTTAATCCAGTTAGTCTCGAGGGGTTTCCTTATAGTTTGTGGTCAAAATAACGTGACCAAATATAATTAATTTCATTATGTACAGAATATAAACTTGTGAATAAACTGATGGAAACCATAAACCTAATTGTAGTGAGTGTTAGGAGGATAGTAGTTAGTGGGTGTGGAGTTTAAGAGGTTAACATCAAATCTGAGTTCAGGGAACAACTTCTTCCTTCTGATGCTGCAGAGTTTCTCCTCCCTCTGATGTCATCGCTCCTCTGCTCCTCATTTGTTTCTCGCTTTGTTTTTCCTGAGTTTCCATCAGTCTGAGTGGGAGTCAGGAATCAGGACAACTTTTCTGTTCCTCCTCGTTTCCTCTCAGATCCTGTCAGACTGAGCAGGACCGGAGGGACTTGTCTTAGTCCCGTGAGTCTGAAGAGACAAGCAGTGTGTGTGTGTGTGTGTGTGTGTGTGTGTGTGTGTGTGTGTGTGTGTGTGTGTG